TCATATTACATTACAGTTCTTATGTTGGTGTGCTGAGCCGACCCGCTGGGATATGAACTCTTTTTGCCTTGTCTTTTTTCCCTCGTTTTCTTTTGCTCAGACGCATTAACATGACAGCTACTAACCATGTGAAAAGGCCCTCTTTTAAACTGATTTTTTTCTCTTCTTTTATACAGTAATGAAGTGTCTCTTGGAGGCTCACGACTCAAACCGGGCACGCTTTGACAGGGAATGCCTGGCACACTTGACGAACAGAATGAAGATGTGGGAAGTAGCTGCTAGGGTACGAACTGATGAAACTTCCGCTGAATATGCACTCACCAAACTAAGAGGATAGGCTGCATGGCTGATCTTACACTGCTTTCTCGACTTACTCAAAAATTTCATTTTATAATCCCAATTTGTTCGATGTTTGGCTAAAACATGTCCATTTTTTATCTCTCTTTTGATTCATTTTTGAAAGGACCAATATACTGGAAAGAGATTTGTAAGGTGTCCTTTTTAAAAAAATGCTTAAGAATTCCTGGATCAATATCAGTATCTGGGCAACTGCCCACCTACCTCTCCCCTAACCCAACATTAACCCTAACTTGTTATCAATTGACTGTTGTTGAGTTAGGGGAGGGGTAGGTAGGCAGTTGCTCAGATACTGATATTGATCCGAATTCCTTCCCTTGTTACTTAGAGAACTTCTTTGTGTTTGCAATCATCCAGTTACAGAGGTTTTCATTTGTGAATCGCTCCTCTGATTACTCGTCGCTATTACCAGTATTAATTTGGACAAATTTTGTTTTATAGGTTGCCCCGCCTGAAACCATCGGTGATCTTGCTGTTGCTATCTCCGCTTCGCCATCCAAGAACTACTTCTTTGTCATTTTTGCAACTTGCTTAGCTCTTATTTTTGTTGGCGGACTTGTGTTCGGTCGACTTTCCAAGAGAATCAAAAGAGAGGTCAAGGATCGCTGAAGGAGGAACCACATGAACCTATATCACTAACAAACGCCATGCCACTCCAACAAGAGTATTGTTTTCTCATGAAGGACTTCTGGACATCAGATTCCTGTACAAAACAGTAGCGTTCACTCCGTTAAGAATAGTTAGGTCATTGATGGAATCTACCAATCAAAACTGTCTCAAAATAATTGATTGAACTATTTTATCTCTTACACTTTTTCACGCGAAAAACCTTTCACAGTCACGGCCAATTTTTTTTTTTTTTTTTTTTTTTGCGGAAAATTTCCATTGGTTACACAACCTTTATAGGATAAAATGTGTTCTTTTAATACATTTGATTTATTTTGTACAGTATCTTCTTTATACCAGCCATTAAATTTCATTTTTCACTAAAAGTAAGAGAAAGAAGCGCAAATGTTAGTAGATTAACCCAGGTGCAATTCCAAGCAGTGATGTTGGCGGGGAGTGCGTCTTTAGGTGGAATGAAAGCTTACTAAATTAATAATGTAGTTTTTGTTGGTTTTACATGGACTCTTTTTGTATCAGGAAGCATGTAATAAGGAACGCATAATGTAGAATTTCATTTCAGTTGTTAAGGACTCTCTTCTCAGTGCGAACGAGCCCTACGTTGGTGTCTTGCTGCGTGTATCGGTGAACCTTCAGATGAAAGAAGATAGTGTTGTTGTAATGAAAGAAAAGGGCTTTGCTGAAGTCTCCTAGAACTGGATCCATGGACGGTTTTCTGTTGTAGAAGGGCCGGTACAAGTCCACTGGAAATAACACTTTATTATTTTTTTCTGTTGTTCCTTTCTTACATTTCTGTCCCGGTGATTTCTATAGTCCATGAAAAAGCTAGCAATTACTTAACATAATGATGAACCTTAGAAATAATATGAGTGAATTCATCATTGAATTAAACCAAGGAAGTAAATGTGTGTTCGAAAGGTCTGTCTTAAACTGCAGTAGTAGTAGTGCTATTGAAATCTTTTGCTGCTCTCAGTCTTAAAAACAGAAGTCAATTAAAACTCCGCGGAGGAGACCTAATTTTATGTGTTTGGCGAAATGCATAAATACTGAATATTTATGTTTACGTTGAGGGAAGGGGAGAATCGCTACAGAGATTAAGATACGGATAACTAAGTTCTGTTCTATACTCGTGTAATCAATTTTCTCGGACAGCCACTTATCGCCTCTGGTCCAAGTAGTTTGTTGTCGTGTTCATGTAAGTAGTAAAGAATTTATTTCTTAAAACTGGATTTAAAAATGTCTGTTTACAAGTGAATTTAATTGTTTGTCAAAGTCAATCTAGAACACTGAGAGCTTTCCCAATGCCTCTATCGAAAGATCACCACCGGAGACCACTGAGTTGACAGGTGTGTCAACCCTGGTCTATTATGGGGCATTTGTTCCGCCCTGAAGTGCTATCAGACGGCACTTGATATATTTGGGATTTAATAAACAATATTCTATGCGATCCATTTGTAGTTAGTGTGTGAAAAATAAAACTCTACTCAGTGGTGTAGTAAATTGTGACGGGTTATTCAAACTTTGCGAGAAACCTGTAAGAAGAAGTGCATTAATACAAAAATGCATTTCCAAACAGTTTCAAGAATTGTGTCGATCGCCAGATTACTTCTGAAATATGAATCTTCGCAGCAGCCACAACGGCAAGATGATGGAGATCAAAAGGGAAATACAATGTAAAGTAATGCAAATAAATTTATTTAATGTTTCTGAATTTTTTCTGAATACAAATGGAAGTACAAGAGTACTACCCAAACGCGGATTATAACAAAAGCTAACCATATATCAAGGAATTGAACCAAACGCTACAGAAGTTTTCGTAAAAATTGAATTAACTATACTCTTTTAGGAGCCTAGACTAAACTAACTGAGCACTTATACTCCATGTAAAGTTGTCCACATTTTAACCTCCCATCCTTCAACCCGTTTCACCCCTCCCCCCCTCCCCGTCGCGTAAACCTCTACCTGCACAGTATAATTTTTACGCGTCTACAAAACCCTTTCACTCTTAACATAGTTTCGTTAGACATCACAAGCTTACAAAATTTATGTCTATCAATCTTTGAGTTCACTGTAACTGTACAAATTCTACTGTTCGTATTGTATTCGACTTAAGTGAAATGAAACTTAAAGCAGTTAAGTTCTATGTACTTAACATGACAAGATTTTGATTTTGCTTACTTTCTAAGTGATGGATAAATCGCTCTCAATTTTGGTTTTTCATTTTGAATGATTCTCTTCTGCTTTACATACAACTATCAATTTTTCCATCATTTTAGTGTCAATGAACTTTGCTCATGACGCATAACAGAAATGCGAGCGAGGCTAAAAAATAAGTTTACAAATTATAGGTATACGCCTGAAAAAAATCACTTTTTTAATTTTTCCTTATATACATTTCTCTCCCAAATACTAATACATAACCTAGTGAGAGGCACTTCCCCAAGTATTTCACACGTGCATTTCATGCGGTGTAGTTAACTTGACTTCCTACTTAAGAAGCGGTGAATCCTCGCATAAACGACGTAATTCGAACGTGTTGGAGACGTAGCCACTGGCATGTCTCCTGATTTATTTATACATAGTCATGTCCAAGTTCTGGTACATACACAGATATCCATCTCCTAGTAGACGACGTACTTTTTCAGGCATCTCGCCTCTCTCCTTTGCTGCAATTATTTCTTCGGGGGTTTTGGAGAGCCATTCCAGCGCTTCAGGACAAGGCGTCACAGCAGGGATATTGTAACCATTTCTTTCTCCTGAAAAGCAAGGCAACAAAAAAACGGAGTAAATGAGTTAGGACGTTATAAGCGCTACTAGTATCCATAAAGCTATTTGCACGTAATTGTTTGATCTACAACACCCAACTCAAGGGCTTTTTCTTGGAAAAAATCTTCAAATCCTGTCACAAGTAAACCCAAAGCTATTTTAATTTTGAAGAGAACTCAACCGACCCGATCATCTTTGAGCCCTCATGATAGGATGCCATGCTTCCAAAAACGTAAAATATCCAAATCGAATATCCTAAATATAAAATTAACCGAGATTGAAAACCTTTAAGTAAAATAGAAACGGGGATAGTTAAAGAAAGACCGGCGGGACCTTGGAGGATTCAGATTACATATGAAGGATAGAAATATTAGGATTTTGATTTTGAATTTTGTACCCTAGAGACCTTACAAATCGATTACGATGTGACTATTACACAACCGTGAAAACGAAAATAATAATTAAAAAAGGAAAGTAATTAGGAGATGAGAACAAATAAAAGCAGAATTTCAGCCGAATGATACTGATAAGCACAATAAGCATAACTTCTCATAATTTCTGTCTCGTCGTGACCTGTCTTGAATTTCTGGTGATTTTTATGAACTTTCCTTGCCTTTATAAACAAACAAAACGCAAACAAAAAGTGAAGGGGTGACCAACATCGCCAGTTATTAGCTGACTCACCTTTCCTGTCCGCCATACTGTCAAAGAAGCACCAGGGGGCGTTTTCATCCATACCACACTTAACAAATGCCACGTAATGACTAGTCTCGATACAGACAACAGCAAAGAGATCCATTTTCTGTTTGAGGAATGTTATCTGCCTTTCGCCTGTTTTCTTTTGGTCACTGTAGTAACCGTACACTCGAGGTAGAAGTATCGGCTTTGGGTTATGATCCTGACGGTTTCGATGACCGTGAACTTTCTCATGGCATCCTTTACAGTAGCTCGCTATTCCGGGTCCGTCTTTCAGGAGACCTTTTTGATAGCACTTCTTGCACTCATATTGAGCAACGTCAGAGCCGCACATGGTACATTCGCGGGGAACTGGGAACATAACGATCTTCGTTAACAACAAGCTCTTTTCATGACGAAGTCACATAATGAAGTCATGTGACGTTGTAAATCACAGAACTGAAGTCAACGCGCAATTGGAGACAAGAATGGGATGAACGCGATTTAGTTGAAAGGATTTCCTATTTGGATACTGGATTTCTAGAAAGTTCTAAAATCAAACAGTGTTAAGGTTATCTATGCCGGAGGGAAAAAAATTGCAATCTATTTGATTTTATCTTTATGATTCTTAGTGATTTGTCTATTTTGGCCCTGGAAATTGATTATCAGCTTTCCATGTTCGCCTGCATTAGTGAGAAAAGTAAAACTAAGATAACCTGCATAATAAATTATTGTTGCTCGGGCGTTTTCCCAACCAAATTCCTCATTTTAACAGGCGCAAAAATTATTTCATATTGTAACACAAAGCATTCTTTTCCCCCTTTTTCTTTTATGTAGCGACCCTTGCACATGATGTTAGGTCGTCAAATGGTGACTCAGACAAAATGGAGGTAAGAACCCTGTTGCACGCACCATTTTCGACGATGTGAGTGACGTCAAGTTCCAGATTGGGTAGAATCATGTCGTACATTTTGTATCTGTTACCAAACCGAGGCATCTGAAGAATCAAACACGATGGTACCTGTAAAAAAAAAAAAACAACTATGTCATACTCATGTCCAAGAAGGTTGATTCATGTGAGCATTACAATGGCGAAACTTGGAAATGAAATGCGAAAGGCAAAAAAGTGACGTAGTTCCGCTTTTATTTAATCCCATCCCTTTCAGATCTAAATATCAATTCTCTGCACTGTCTTCCATACATTTCTAGTAAACGTAGCGTTGAGAATTAGGTGTTCAATTACACAATATCGCTTTGTTGACATTTTCCAAGCACATCATCTCTGTGCTTGAAGCACCTTCGTGCTTGAAATGTATTTTATATTGCGCGGAAAAATAGTGCTCTGATTACGTCTGGGAATGAAGCTGTTCACAATATCACCTAAGACTTACAAAGGTTACTAGCAAAATGCAGCGTGTTAATTAGAAATTGCTGTGTCGTTAAGAAAATACTTGCATCAACACACGTCCCACTTACCTCAGATAGTATGAGATCCGCTGAGATAAAAGACTGCTCCAACATAGTTTGAACCTGAGCAATTTTCACCGACTCATCCTTATCAGTTATGATCTGGTACAAGAACGCTCCTTCACCTTTCTTCTCTTGCACATCTCGGGGCCTGTGAAATCCATACAGCAAGGTTACATTTGCGCTTGAGCAAAACCCCAATTATACACGATACGAAGTGCACAAAACGTATTTAAAAATAACTTACTTCAAGTGAAGAAATGGGTCCGCTTTTAATACTTGTTGCAGGAGAGAGTTTAAAAATTCTTCTGGGTCTGAAAAATTACAACAACAACATCAAAAATAGTTTGGGTAAAGTTTGCGCTCAGCTGTTGGGTGGAACCTTGATCAAGGATAATCTAACAACAAAGAAAGTGGATCTTCGTTGACTTGTTGTTCTAAGTTTGACTAGCTCACATCTTGCTTTGAAGGTTCAATCGGCCCACAAAAGATGACCTATTCGGAGACATTTCGGTAACAACTGCTAACGAATAGAATGGGTCATTTAACAAATGAAAATAGACAGGGAGGGCAGGAGGAAACCAGCACATTACTATAAACTGAGAGCATACCAGGCTGTGAAAAATCATACCTTTTTCCGGCATTAGAGAAAGGAGACACACATGTAGCCTAATTGTCTCCATGAGCTATGCCCTATAATCAGTGGCGAATCATTGAGTAATTTTGAAACTGCTGATGTAAGAAAAAGGGAATAGACATTCAAGAGTTCACAAAAACAGTCTGGTTTGTAAATTTAATACACTGTTCTACTAGGTAGTTTTTATGTGCAATTTCAAGGTTTTCAAATCACCTTTTTCTTCATTTATTAGGCCTGCTGTGGAACTGAGCTGGTCAAGAAGTTGTCTCAGTGTAAGAAGGCGATCTGCACGAACAAAACCTTTCCTGCAATAACATAATATTCAACATTGAGATATTTATCCTCAAGAATCTGAAATGACACTCAAATGAAATCTGTACCAAAAATGCAACATAAATGTGAAAGATACCAACACTATGTTGCCGGTAAAACGAACCTGCATTATGGTAAGTTCTATAAGTTCTATATTCTATGGTAACTGCTATAATTGCATGTGCAAAAAATTTAAATTGACAACCAGTGTCAGCCAGACAATCAAACAGTTCCTGGGTGGCTGCTCAACGTAGGTTCCACCCTATTTGCTAAAAGGATCCAGTGTAACAGTGTGTAACATGTAATTTATTCCCCTCTTCCTGATAAACTTCCCCATGTACTAACTGTTCATTAAATTATAATGCCATTACGTACACTCTGAGAGGATTGACAATCAAGTTTCTTAGCACACTCTGCACTTTATCATATTCCTCCAAATCATCATCTTTTTTGACACGATGCAGCAAGGTGTCAAACACACTTGTGAATGCAAACATACTGAAAAGTGTGGCATCAAGGTAGCACGAGTTATGGTGACCTTGGAGACCACGCATCTGCCCACGGTGATTATCCTCAAGAGTTTTGGGAGGCATGGTTACGCCTGGGATTTCTGGAGAAGGCTCAGATCCAAAGTCTGAAAACAGTCAATTATTTGTTCATTTAAAATTATGGTAAAAATAATTAAAATACAGTAACTCAATAAACTTATCTTTTTGAAATTGTTATCAATCAGTAAAGAGCTACAGACACAAAGCCACATCACCCAGTTCACAAACAATTGCTGCTCAGATTATTGCAAAAACTGTTATTTTCATCAAACAGGTTTCCTTGCATGATGAAAATGGCAGCCCCCATAGAGGCATTCTTAGCTCATTTGAAGACTATTTTCAGGATGTTTTGTCACTTTCTGGAAATCAAAAGGCAGTCAATTACACAATTTCATCTACATGTATATTCATGAAGAATGAGATAAAGGTTACATGGTTTCAGGAGGATACATCTCCTTTAAGAAGTAACCTTAAAGGAGAGGTGGTAAAAGACATAGATAGAGACAAGAAACCACAGGGTACAAAAAAAATTATCAAAACAAGTTGTACAAGGGCAAATTTTTATTGATATCATTAGAGCTAGATATGTTGCTGTTGAAAAGTACCCAAGAACTGAACTGGTGATAAAAAAAACTTTTTTTGAAGAGAATCATTTAAATGATGACAAATTTTTTTGTGCATCTCCAGAAAAATATTCAATATCTGCAATATCTGCCCATGAAAAAATAAATAAAAGTATTGTGTAATGCATGATTGGAAGTTTCACAGTGGTGGGTTGTGTTGAATGTAACGCACTTGCCATAATTCTCTTTATAGTTTTCAAATTTAGCTCATTTACCTTTTTCAGCATTTAGACTGACATCAGTGATTGGTGAGTTAGCAAAGCGGGAATCTGGTCGGCAATGCTCCAGTAAAACAAAGAAACCTCGTCCTGCTGGGCAGGTGAAATATCTTTCTTTATTAAAAGTCCCATCTGAACATGCAGACTCCTTCACTTCCTACAGAGAAAGAAAGTATAGAATAAATGTTGGTGATACAATAATTAATTAAGAGCTGCAAAATAAAATCTATGGTTTACCATACTTTTTTTACACTGGGTGAGCCTAAAAAATCTCACTCACCAATTCCAGACCTGCTACCAGCTTTTCCTTCACTTGTGGCATACTTCCCATCCAGCGAATGACACCATATCTTGGAACACCATCTGCCATAGGAACCTCTACCATAGATCCAACCTCCAAACCATAATGGTTATCAACTGACATAATGCCGTTGCCACCTGTAGGGAAAATTTCACTGTTACAACAATTACTGGTCACTGGCAAAATAATGCTTAACCAGTAGCAAACTGTTGACAATTTAAGCCTTATTACAGTTGTGATAATGGAAGACATGCTGGCCTAAAAGGTAAGTGTGCTGGAGTCTGGGACAAGATGTCTGGGTTCAAGACCTGGGGCCCGTTTCTCGAAGGTCCCAGTAACTACATGTAAGTGGACCCATAGAGCTGTTCTCTTTTCATTCAAGATGGGAGTTTCAAAAGTTTTGAGGATAATTCAATAAAACTATCAGCTACAGAAACAAAGTGGACATGTTAAGGCATCAAAGCCTGCTTCTCTATTCTCTTAATTTTGATTTTAAAATATGGCGTCAGGCCCATTAAGTTGGCAGGAATTTCAAGAAACAGGCCCCTGGCCCAATGTGTTGTGATCTTGGGCGAAACTCTTTATTCTCATTGTTTCTCCCTCCATCCAGGAGTATACATGTTGTGAATGGGTACCAGAAAATTGTCAGGGAGGCCTGATCAAATTCTGGGGGGTAACCTTGCCTTGGGCTAGCATCCCATCCTGTGGGGAGAAGTGATGCTGCTTGTCACTTAATACGAAGGAAACCAGAATAAGCTCCTGCTGGGTGGGCCACTTGGCTTGAGTACAGACTTTATCTTTACCTTCACAGTTGTGATAAACTTTCACATAAAAAAGACACACTACATCCTCTCTCGCTTTACTAAAACTTTTACTTATAATAAAAATGTGTACGTCTAGTCAAGCCTAAAGGCAGAGGTAAGGATGTTTTCCTTTTTTCGTTTTTGCTGTGCACATCTCATTTATGTTGTTCAGCCCTGTAAGAGTGGGTCCCCCTTGCTTTAGTTCTGAAAAGCTCTCTGTGTTGTGCATTTTCTCTATTCTTCAAATTTATTCAGCAGTAGCTAAGAAACACATCAATACTTAATAAAAATAAAAAGTATTGTACCAGGTCCCCTATATCCTTTGACTTGGGAGTATCAAAGGGAAAATAAAATAAGCAGAATAGGGGAGAAAAATATGAGCCCAAATGCACTGTAAACTAAATTATCTTCTGTGTCTTTGCATCTTGTGATAAATAAGCAGCCTAACAGCTGAAATTCACAATTCAAAACTGCTAAACTCAATTAACTTTGTAGTAAATAGATTAGTTCTGAAGATGACTTGAGACATCTCTTAATGCTTTCTTATTAGAGGGGATCAGTCACTAGCAACACTACAGTACATACTAAAAATACTACTAAAATTGATTTTGGGAGATAAACATGGATTAAATTTTTTTGAAAGATTATTCTTAGTTTTATTTGTCTGAGTGGTCCTGCTTTAAGTGATCATTCAATACAGGTGGAAAGCAATACAAACAGGCCATTAGGACTCAAGTAAAGGGTGACCACAACTGCTTAAAAGAAATGAAAATTACAATTATGTTAGAGGGGGAAAAAATGTAAGAACTTTGAAAACCAATCCTTAATACAGGTTCAACTATTGTAACAAATCAGCATAAAAATTATACATTTAATTGATTCCAAAAATAGACAAAAATCTATTGAGTACCAACCAGTTCCCTTGTCAACTGCCAAATCAGCTCTAGGCAAAGTGGGTGCATGTGAGTGTGCATATGGCTCCTCTGAAGTGTCTTTGGAAGTCATTTCCCTTTCCATTTCCACTTCCATAGCCTCTGCAATTTCACTTGTCTTTCTCTCTGAGACAAATTTGGCTGTTACCACAGATCCATTAGTTCTATTTATTCCTTGCTCAAACTGCTTTACTTCATCTTCAGATGTTGGTGATTGGTGAGAAGTTAAATGTGAGGCAGGTTGTACACGTTCCTTAGATTCTTCTGTCCAAAGAAATCATTATCAGAAATTATGATCATCTCAGATGGATCATTCTTTTCTAGCTTAAAAGATGGGTAACAATTGTCCAGCCCTAAATTAATCTTAAACTATCACATACCCATAATTTACTGAGGAATAACAAATGAAGATTATTCCACATAATGTACTCCACATCCTGTACTCTGCATAAAAACTGTGTACTAAGGCGAATGAGCATGCCTGATTTTTTATTTTTTATTTTTTACTGCATAATTTTAGTGTAGAAAGTACCCCCTTAAAAGCAAAAATTAAAGAAAATTCATCAGAAAGAAAAAAGGGACAGCTAAATGCATGCATGAAGCCTGTTACTCAAGGATGCAAATTGTAACCCTGAAAGTAATGACTCGAGGAACATTTTGAGCCAATGTCATTTAAAATTGAGCAATTTTTCCACAAATGATTTGTCAGAATTGTTCCATATTACCCAAGAGACTTTCTACCAATCAAGTGTTTTTTCTGTGCTACTACCCTTGCTTTCAGGTACCACAAGATGTACCATGTGTCAATGAAATAATGCTTGTGATTAGTTCCAGTATCAGCATTAATGGGGTAAGTTATGCCTATCATATCTCTTAAACAAGCACAGTGAACCTTTTTTAATTGTTTTAGTTGAAACAGGCATTGGTAGGGAACATTTGAGAAAAGTTTAAAAAAGCTGTTCCATGACCTTTTCATTCTGAGGAATCACCTTAAGATTAATTTGCTACCAACAGTGGGACACTTATGCTTATGAAGACAGTGGTTCTAATTGCAACTTAGGAATCGATGTCTATGAGGAAACAGACTAACTGAACAGGTTATCCATTGGAGAGTGAACAAATTATTTCCAGTGATGGTAAAACCTAAATTTCCTTTTCTTTGTAGTCACTGTGTATGAGAATTGATTCAAAGGTTAGCATGGCATGAAAATTTTGAAACTGGTGATGAGATGGGATGCAGTATGTATATTTCACGTTTTTCCAATATT